GGGGCGGCGGCAGGGGGCAGCCGCAGGGGGCGGGCGCGCCGCAGCCGCAGGGGGCGGCGGGCTGCTCGCACACGCACGCGGGCACCAGGCACTTGCGGCACTTGGGCCTGGGGGCGGGCACCAGGAACTTCTTGGTCTTGGTCACCTCGATGAGGCGGCCGCACGGGGGCGGCAGGGCAGGGGGTCCACAGCGCCTGGCGTGGCCGCCGTGGCGGTGGCCGGGGTGGGCAGGGCGACCACAGCCGCAGGGGGCGGGTCCGCAGGACTGGCAGGGGGCGGGGGCGCCGCAGCCGCAGGGGGCAGGGGCACCGCAGCCGCAGGGGGCGGGAGGAGCACTGCAGCCACCGCAGCTGGGCACGCCGCAGCCACAGGGTGCGGGAGGAGCGGGGGCGACGCAGCCGCCGCAGCTGGGCACTCCGCAGCCGCAGGGCGCGGGAGGCGCGGGCGCACCGCAGCCGCAAGGGCCGGGGCCGCCGCAGCCGCAGGAGGGCGCGGGCAGGGCCACCAAGGTCACCTGCTGCTGCTGGGGGCCGCAGCCGCAGGGGTTTGGTGCGCAGGTGCCGCAGCACGCTGGGTGGGCCTGCAAAAACACATCAGAGGACCTCGTTAATTTAGAACTACTTGGTGTACATTTTTAGGCAGTCGTTTATCGACTGACTTTTTTGAAATAAGGCAAACCAAAATAAATAAATAATTAAAGCTTGCAAATAATTTGTTTTCATTTTTTAGCATTGCTATAACTAAGCCAAACTTACCGAGGCCCACTGAGCGGCGCCCAGCAGCGCGGCGGAGACCAGGAGCGCCTGGAGGAGTGCGGACGCCTTCATGGTGCGGAGATGTGTGTCGCTCTCGTATCGGAAGCGCACTAACTTATACCGAATTGTTCCACGTGCCGCGTCGTGCACGGCGGGGGGCGTGGTCCGCGCCGGGGTGGATGCCGTGCGCGCGCGCCCCCGAGCAGCGCGCCGGGCGGACGGTGGTCGGACGGCGTGTGTTTGTAAACCAAGAGATTCCGAGCGAGGCCGCGGCTGTGCGGGTGCACCTGAGGTGCACGACCGGCTGGAACGTGAAGGCCCGGTTCCGACTGGAGAGGTCGGGGCGGAGCCTAGCGTGCGGGCCAGAGGCCAGAGGGTGGAACGACCTACATTGGGGCTAGGTCATGGCGCGGAGCCGACTGGAGAGGTCGGAGCGGAGCCAGAGGGTGGAATGGCTCTCATGGGGGTAGGTCATGGCGCGGAGCCGACTGGAGAGGTCGGAGCGGGGCGTATGTATGGGCCAGAGGGTGGAATGACCCGCACGGGGGTAGGTCATGGCGCGTCTTGGCGAGGGAAGTCCCAAACGCGATGTGACTCACTATCGTTTGGATAAAAGCGTCGAGATCGACGTCCTAACGCCTAAAGATCATGATGGCTGGTGGACGCAAAAGTTCACGAGAAGAGTGTGTTGTTTTATGTTTTCATCAGAGGGGAGCCCTTCGTCGTCTGTTGCCGCATGTGGCATCCGCTGCGAGCGTTCACAATGATGGCGCCTGCGGCACGCTGGGTAGGCCGACCCGCCGAGCATCTCTGTGAAGTCGGTGGCCCGCCCCAAGCGCCCGATTTGAACCCAAGCGCGAAGCGCTTCGCTCGCGTCACCTCGGGGCGCGTTGGACGTTGGGGCCCCTTTACAGTACAGACCAGCATTTTTAATGTTCACTGTTTCAATTTTGAGAATCATGCCGCGAAAATGACATAATAATGTTAGTCCATTTATTACCTGAAGATAAGTAGAAACATATGTTTCAGAGTATAATGTAGAACCTACGATATAGGTTTATTGAGACAAGATTTAGACAAAAAAGGGAAATGATAATATATTGCAGTGCTGGGTCGGTCACACGGAGTTGGCCCTTGTGGCAAAATGCCTTTTAGCTTACACGGTGAGTTTTAGTTTGCCGTATCGAACGGCGTCACAATGGCGATGTGGAATTATCAAGGTTTTCTCTGCAGTCATTTGCATCTGCTGGCTCGTCATTTATATTTTGTCAGTGTTTACATTTTCGATCCGCCTTCTAGGGATAGCTCTTGTCGAAAGTAGATCCTCCTCGCTGGTCAATAGTGTTTGTAATTGCTGATCTCGGACCCATTCTCAGCTGAGCGCAAGGTGCAAGGTCTTTCAAATTCGTTTGCAGCTCACGTGTATTATTGTTTGGCTTTGTGAGCTGCCGCTATGTACTTGTGCTTTGAAGGCGAAATTTGAGGCACCACCAAATAGCACGAGCTGTGCGCGGTGAGCGCTGTAGGGAGCAAGGTTAGGTGTCATCGTGTTCTTGATATTTTTGTTTATGCAGGTTGTGGAGGGGGTGCTCAATTCAAAGTCAGGGAGGTTAAATCGTTTCATTTGATTTTATTCTCGGAAGAGGTGATATAGCGGGCGGGGTTACCCACCCACTCTCAACACACACACTCACTCAGTTGCAGCCGCAGTTGGAAGAGGGGCGGTAGCAGGAGGTGCACACGGGGGCGGGTGCGGGGGCGAGGCGGTCAACCACGACCTGGGGACGGTACACCACCCTCTTGGTGGGGGCGGACACGTACTCAATGACGCGCTCCTGCTGGACCTGGGCGGCGCAGGGGGCGGGGGCGGCGCGGGCGACGGGCACGGGGATGTACACGGGCTGGGGTGCGGGGGCGGGCTGCTCGACGTAGTACACGGGCTGGGCCTTGGGGGCCTCGGGCTGGTAGCAGGGCTCGGGCTCGGGGGCGTGCTGCTTCACCACGGTCACGTACTTGCGCACCACGGGCTGGGGCTTGGGGGCGGGGATGTAAGACGGGCGCACCACCGTCCTGCTGCAGCCACCGCCGCACACGTCCTTGCCGGAGCTGGCGCAGCCGCAGGAAGCCTGTTGCACACACACAAGAGTAACTTACGTTTAAATACAGAACAAACGAACAAAAACAAAAAAACGAACTAACGGAAATGTCTTGGATTTTTAGAAAGCCAGGAGAAAAACGCCAGTTCTAAGCGTTCCAGACTAAATTAGTAAGGTTTTGTTCTTACCGCGGCCATGCCGAGCACCAGGGCGAAGACGGCGAGAGCCACACACACGTTGACGGACTTCATGGTGATGAGGAGAGTGGGTGAGTTCCGCCCGCTGTTTGGAGTGGAACTGGAGTGATACTTCCCCTGGAAGAGCCCCGCCATCTTATACTCCTCGGCGACACGCTTCCGCGCGGCTCGCCGTCGCGAGAGCGAGAGAGAGAGAGAGAGAGAGAGGGAGAGAGGGAGGGACGTGATATGTGCGTGGGCGTCGCGCCGAAAACATCACACCCCTGAGGGGGTTGTTTGTAAACTCACCCACGGCGGTGTGGAGCCAATGCCTCCGGGTGGGTCACTCAGCAATGACCGCCCCCCCTTTTGGCCGCCGTCGACGGCGAGGTCTTTGTCGACCGGGCCGGGAGTAAGGACCTTAGCCGGGAGCGGCTCCGCTCGGCATGACGACCCACAGGACGACATGACGTGACCCACACGGTGGGGCTCAATGCATGGCGTCCCCGACTGCCTTCGGCTCTGAATCACCCGGTACAGCTCCGTCTCACTCGCACGGATGAACGGCCTGAGCAACCCTCTGGCAGCCGAGCCCCCTAAAGTGGTGCCGTCGGCGCAGTGGTCACGCGTGAGAAGGGATTTGCTCGAAACACGCCCCTGATCGAAGACATACATAGTTGACTGCAACTTCTGATCACGTCAGACAGGACGACAATGTGGGTGCGACACACCTCGACGCGCGCCTTTAAAGTGGAAACTTACTCCCCGATCTCCAAGTAGTGCTCTCTCTGATTCCTTTATCCAACCCAAGTTCTCGTGTAACCTCGCCTCCCGTGAGGTATCATCTTCGAGCGAGATATGTGATGTCGCAGTGAGACGAACGCATTTCCACTAGTTGCAACCAGGGGGTGGCCCGCCAGGGCTCCAGGGCTCCGATATCGCAATTTCAAGGCAAATCTAAAGCCCAAAATGTCCTCAACGTTCCTCTGAAATCCCCTATATTTTTACCGGGAGCGGTAATCCATAATAGGTCAGCGGTAATGCATGGTAATAAGGAACCCGTGGTCGGTGTTATTCCAGTTAATAATTTGTGTTGTGGGGGGTTACGTCGAGGATAAACCTTATGAGCTTGAGGTCACACCAGCGCGAACTCATAGTATATCCTTATATTTCACGTTTTCATACGTTCAGTCCCAGGGGGTCCTTTTTTTCGTGTATAATGGCCGTGCCTGTGGTCATGTGGGACTAAACGTTCATTGTAAATATACGGTCGTCGCTGTGCCCCGTCGGAGGAAACGCGTATGCAAGCCCATAGTCGCATTTGCTGAGACGGATCACAGCGACCACGCTCCTTGTGTTGACAAACATTTATTTCGGTAAAAGATGACACACTCTTTGAGCCTCTGTCTGTCTATTTGTCTGTCTGTCTCTGTCTGTACTCGCCCACCAAAACATCAATTAGTTTCTCAGGAAGATGCAAATACAAACACAAGTGGTACGAATTAACAGTCGTTTTTATTTTTGACATTTCGCATATTTAGTACGCGCAAACCCCTAACAAGGGCAGCCACAGGAAGCGGCAGGCTGGGCGCAGGTGTTGCAACGGGCAACGGGCCTCCTGACGACCTTCCTGGTGCGGATGACGACCTGCTGCTGTCCACCGCAAGAGCTCTGGCCGCAGCTGGAGCTGCCGCACGAGTTGCAGGGCTGGGGAGCAGGAGCGGGCTGGTAGCAGGTGTTGCCACAGTTAGTGCCGCACGAGTTGCAGGGCTGGGGAGCAGGTGCGGGCTGGTAGCAGGTGTTGCCGCAGGTGGTGCCGCATGAGTTGCAGGGCTGAGGGGCGGGCTGGGAGCAGGTGTTGCCGCAGTTGGTGCCGCA